CCCGAGAGCCTGCAGGAGTCATGGGCGGGGTGTGTGGGGATGGTGGGGGTGCGCTCTGCCATGAGGAAGTTCAGCTTAAAGACACTTTCCAGAGGTGTTTCTGGTACCAAAAGGTGTTTCTGGTCCCCACCTGTTGTTTTGCTCCTCAGCATGGCTTCATAAAAACACTGCAGGATTTCTCAAACATGATGAATGAGTCAGAGCAAGGCTTTGGACATGTTTTTTATGAGAATATAACATTATAACATGATATAAAACTCAAAAAAGTTGATTTTACATCATATTGTCCCTTTAATGTTTCCATAATTGTTGTTGTTCCGTTGGACTTTGATGACATGACCTCATTAAATCTCTGTATAAACTGAGTCATTTAACATTTAAAAAAWTTTTTTTGACTAAATGTAAATTTTTTCTGCTTTAAGGAACGGTCCTTCCTCAGTTTAAACCCACAATTTCATCTAGTTGAAATTTTTCTGCAGGTTTGAACCAAAGTTAATGTTGCATGTTATTAACATGTTGATGGGATTACCCAGAATGCACCTCAGCCCATCAGCTCCTCTCAACACTCTGTAAACTGTTTATGTGTCCTGCAGGTGGTTCTGATGGCTCCCGCCTTTACGACGGCGTGTGGCGCTACAAGTCCAGTGTGAACGAGTGGACCGAGGTGTCGCCCATGCTGAAGGCCCGTGAGTACCACAGCTCCTGCGTGCTGAAGGGTCAGCTGTATGTGGTGGCGTCGGACAGCACCGAACGCTATGATCAAGCTCTGGACTGCTGGGAGGCCCTGCCAGCCATGCTGCACGCCATGGACAACTGCTCCACCACGGCGTGCAACGGACGCCTGTACGCCATCGGCTCCCTGACCGGCGAGGACACCATGGCTATCCAGAGCTACGACACCGACACAAACCGCTGGACCTTGGTCAACTGTGGACAGCTGCCCCCCTGGTCCTTTACTCCAAAAACTGTGACCCTCAATGGGCTGGTTTACTTTGTCAGGTGAGGAGACCAGTTTTTTTGAGTTTGGAAATAGGTCTTTACTGTACTCCACGTCTCACAGCTCGAACAAAAACACAGAAAAATCTATGTCAAACAATATAAGACTTCAGAGTACAGAGACCGAACATGTTTAGCTTTGTAACGGGTTGGTAGGAGAGAAACAACAGGTGATAACTATTTCTGTCCTGCACTACACTTCTGCCAAGTTGGGGCAGCAGGTCAAGTTATTGACTAATATTTATTTATTCAGCCTTTTTAAAGGGATCCATGATTAGTTGTAACATTAGACTTTATTTAATAAACATATATTTTAACTGCAAAGAAAAGACTGTAAAAATACTGTCGGATGTTTAGTTTTTATTATATTTAAACTAAAAGTTTAAAATATATTGCACAGATGGGGCCATTTTATTTCCACACAAAGCATTCTGGGTAAATGATGACGTGGATAGGTCCTCGGTGCGAGGCTGCTAGCGAGCTATATCCACCC